AATTTTTTGATACATTGTTAATTGATATTGATATATATGCTATATTATTATTTTAATAATATAAGAATTTATGAATTTATTATATTATAAATCATTTAGCATTTATTATTAATAGCAATATATTACATTAAATTAAACTTATTTTATTAAACAGATATATACCATCATGCAATAATATCCAAGAAAACATATATTTAACGTACAGCCCACAACTTCCACTAAAGATATCTCATGCAACAATTCCTCGATTAGAGATATAAAGCTAAAAACGGATAGAACAATTTCTTCTTTATAAAATTTATAAGTGTATATTTTATGACAAATCTCTTATTATATACATATATATATAAGTACACACATGTATATTCTGTTTATGCATAATACATTACTTAATTGTTGACATAATTTAATTTTTGATATCTCAACTTTTAACAAACAATGCATATGCAATATTTCAATACGTCCGAAGTTCATACTTACTTCAAGATACGCATGTGTAATTGTATTATTTTAGCTAATCTCTCGTTCGTGGTGTCGTTGACGCCCTCTCGACCATCGACTAAATGGTTTATCCAGGACACGAGCACCTGCAACTGTCCACATGCATGCATTGCGAGGAGAACTGCCAAGCTACACGCAGCCACCGTGACGTTGTGGGCGATAAAGCCAGCAAATAACTGGATGAAATAGAAAATCTCATTAACCGGACTACGACGAGCATCGACAATCACACTGGGCACTGGAAACACCAGTCTGCGATAAGTGAGATTGGTACCCTCCTCTTTGATCCTCGCGCGAGTCAGTGGCACCGCCACGAAATAAAACGTGACGCCACCGTACATGAGGACGCTGCAGATGACAACCAGCCGACGGCCAAAGTTTGCGTTCTCCAGCATGATTCTTCTTTCATCTATGTATCTCACGTTTTTCCAATCACTCTTAATATAATCGACACATTTGCGAATGTCATTTTCGCGCAAAAGCAAAGCGCAGTATTTCAATACGGCCATGAAGAAGAATGTAAGAGCGCTACCAAGCTTCAACTGATTGTAGAAATCCTTGATCTCCAGGACGATGTATATGCCACTGGGAATTAGGAGTAAAGCCAGCAATATGTAGCAGATTACATTCAGCATCCTATACCACAGCATCTCAATCGAGGATTGTGTCAGCGGCCACGTGCCGATTATTTTCATGATCCAGATATTTAGTTGCAAATTAATTCGAAAATCATTCTTATAATTCTGATTGTACGGTTTGGACTTGTTGCGAACATCAAGATATCGAGGTAGACTCTCCATTATCGCAGTACGAGTGATTGGTACGTACTGACAGTAGTAAGGCTTCAAGCTCATCATCGACATGATTTGCGCTTGCGCCACTTTGTAAATCCATGGAAGAAAAAAAGGGATTTATGCAGAGATTTTCTAAGCGAGTAGCGGAAAACTTTGTACGATTATCTGAAAAGAGTTCGTAGTGCTTCAACAACCGTTTTGTTTCCTGAAAGGTGCATTTTATAATACCTGTCATGTTAGTAGACACTACGAAGGAGACAATACAGTGTTATATATAGACTAGATCCGGTTATAGAAAATTATGGAGAAAGAAAAAATGTCATTTGCAGGCTAACAAACGCGTGGTTTGGTCTTTACAATATTTGGCAGGAAGAAAAATATATTCAGTAGAAAAAGAATGAATTGTGCTTTGAAGTTCGCTATACGGGCTCTAAGCGCTACGGCAGACAAAATTTCTGTAACAATAACCATAAGATATAAACTTAAGCCAATGCGTCAATCAAGCTTTAGAGTTACGTAATCTAACGAAAATAGCAGTAAACTTAAGACAAATTTCAACCAGTCGAAATTTACGTTATAGATAAATTTGTTGCTATTTCTATTTCTGTTAAATTAGGTAGATCTAAAGCAATATCCTGATTGGCTCATCGATTTAAATTTACGTCTTACGGTTACTGTTACAGAATTTTATTTGCGGCAAACGGTGGTTCAAATATTATTCTGTACACTGTTATATGTATATACTCACATATATATGGTTTATATATTTTATTAATAACTTTACTAATAGTTGATACTTAAGTTAATTTTTATAAAATTAATAAATAATAATAAGGTTTTGTAAGTATAAAACAATATAGGCAAAAGAAGGGCAAAGAGCCAGCAAAGAACTTTAATTTAAATCATAATATTTATATAATAATTACAACGGACAAAACATTTTGATATACATATTCAAACATTGCTATAAATAAAAAATATATATAATATTACAAAATTCGTTATAAGTCTAAAATACGTATTCTTCATTTTGTGTAGTGCGCTGCGATTCAATTATATCGGAAATCAAAGTAGTAAGAAAGTAATATTCTATATTCTGATACTACTTTGATTTTTTATATAATTGACTCGCAGGGCACTACACAAAATGAAGAATACGTATTTTAGGCTTATGACGAGTTTTGTAATATTATATATATATTTGGTTTATAGCGAGGTTTGAATATGTTTACCGCAATATTTAGAATAACTCGAGTGGAGTCGAAACGTATGTTTTGTCCTTTGTAATTATTATTTGAATTTTATTTGATTTAAATTAAAGTTCTTTGCTATATTACTCTTTGCCCTTGTGTTACCTGTATTGTTTTATATTTTGTATACATGTGAAAAGAGATATCAGATTTCGGGTTAGTAAAAATCTAAAGATTAAATACGAAATTGAATTTACGGAGACTATTTTTGAGATTTCGAAAAAGATTACAAAAACTTATTCAGCATAATGTGACAAGTTCTTTCGTATATGATGTATTAGCTCAAATACAGAGCAACTGACGCAGCAAGTTTAAATATTCCATCGCATATGTTATAATAATCTGAAAATTAATAAAAGTTACTTGCATAAAGCGTTTATACAAATAATCGTTTATAAAAAGATGTTTATGAAAAGGAATAATTACCGTGGAATGATATTATATTTATCAATAAATGAATATTTTTAAAAATTATATGTAAATATAAAATATTTATCAAGAAATAATTCTTACATGATATTTTAAACATGTGAATCTTACAGAAACTTTTCTTATTGTTATAGTGTGAATAATATAAGCGGACAAGAAATTGCTTACAGCGAGGAAGCTGGTGAAAGAAAAATCGATCACTTCACCCGCCGTGAGTTTCGTAGAGTATCTGATCATGGAGATAATTAAGATAACGAGCTTCTTTATTGGGCAAGTAATACCAATCGATCATGTAACAAATATACTTACTTTATTCCCTTATTATACGAAATGCAACAAGTACAGTATAGTATTAGCATCTTGTTACTAAAATTTTACTTCCCTTATGTATATTATTCTCTTTTTAAGCATGTTATTTATTTATAATAAATGCATGTTATTACTTTTTATAATACTATATTATATTTTTATGTACTTTTTCGATTAGTAATAATTTTTATACCTCCATATTTTTTTATCACCTATGTACCCTACTTGACTAATTATAATAAAGTTTCCTAATGTAATATAATATCAAAATATTGACAAAATATTGTAAAAGATACATGTATTAAGCAATATATTACAGAAAATAGTATGTCATTCAATTCTCATCCCTAAAAAATGTATTGTTATTTAACTGCATATATTACTATTTAAAAATTAAAAGCAACGAGTATGAAAGAGATTAGTATATTCTATTAAAGAAAAATATAAGATGTTAATGCAAATGCACTGCTGTTGCGTATCATTAACACGTATCCTAAAAGACATTAAAGTATTTCCAACAACTTCAAAACAACATATTTCTGCTATCTGATGTAAAAATCTAGAATTTGCCATTATTCAAATATGTATCACCGTAAGTTTTCGTATTGTATATAAGAAATTTTTAAATTTAACATATTTAATAAAAATATTTAATTATATATGGCTAACAAATAATTCAAGGATTAAATTTACCTAGAATTTTTCTAAATTTAATTTCCAACAAATAGATAGTTTATTGCAAAAAGCATCACAAACGAAATTCATAGCATTTAAATATAAAATTTTTATTTTTTAAGACAAATTGAAAACCTAAAAAAAAATTTTTAATTAGTGGGAAACGAGTAATAAATAACTCAACTACTTATTTACGTATCTTTATGTGATTCACGACAATCGCTGTCAATTTTTTAATAATAGCGCGTTTTGATCATTTGTTTTCTTGTGCAAGTTCTCCAGCTAGATGATCAACATTTTGAATTGTCTGCAAGCGTGCATGGTAAATAATGCCGTGATACCGCAAACGCTGGTTGATATGATGTGTATTACGACACCAGTCATCATACGCATCGAAAAAACGATTTAGTAAGCTGGATCCTCTAAAAAGTTTTGTCCATTTTTCGGATTTGTTCACATTTGACCACGCACCGATCACTGATCAATTTGTGCACCTACATGGTGTACCTAATATCATTTTTGTAATTCCATCTGTGCATGCATATGGATGAACCGGAGAAAATCTTTCTCCTTCTTCTTTTTACATTGATTATGAAACTGACGTATAATCGCAACTAATAGACAAAAGTACAACAAAAATTGATTGGTATTATGCACGTTCTCGCGTCTGCGTGAATAACCGTCGTTACCACAGTGGTTCTGTCACAGCACAGTTTAAAGTTTGAAACGAACAATTGCGTGCGCGCTATTTTTTGTCCACAGAAGATAATTATGGAATAGTATCGATTCACACGAGACGGCCTTTAGCAAAAATACAAATGTCTGCCTTCTGTCAAATCATGGATCGCAGAGGACTATATTGAATCAACGTAATTACACAAATTATTAATTAAATCAAGTTTAACATAATGATGTACTCGATTTTCAAAATTAGAAATCATGTAATTTTGTTAATGAAAGTTAATTAAAAAATTATAAATCTTAAGTGAATGTAAAATATATCAAAAAGTTGTTTGATTTTTTACAATAGTTGTAATAAGTATAGGATTATAATAAAACGATCAATCTTTTATCTTGTTATTTGTTTAAAAGATAGCGTCAATTACAGATTAATATCGAGTATTGTACTATTATGACAATTATTTCGTCAAAATTATGCAAATTTTAAGAGCATATTAAAGTACGCCATCGATGTTTTAACGATCTGTGAAATAATGAAACATGCAACAATTCACTGCTTGCACATAAAATAAAATAAGCTTTTATACTTACGTTACTGAAAGTAGGTAGAGATATGTCTATCATTCTGCCTGCTGAAATTTTTGCCGGAATATTGGAAACTGCCATTATTAGTATTAAAGAACGGGCTCTTCTGTATTGAAGATGATACCAATTTGTCGTGGACGTCATTAATCCAACCTTGATGCTCTGTTATAATTAAGTAAGTATATATTAAAAAAAAAATGTTTATAAAAATGTTGGTGCCTAACTTATTGCAAGTAAATATAAACACTTGCTACCTGATCTGTCAATCGTTGACCCACATAACAGTAGGTAAAAATGGAAAAGATGAAAGATGTAAGCATCACAGACATAGTTAACATAGCCGTCGAATCATTATTTTGCCATTCCTATGAGGTTAATAATTGCAATACACGAAGCTAATAATTTATTTTTAATTCTTTTAAATTTTTAATTTGATTTAAATACTATCAGTCTTAATTTTCATGTAAAAATTAATTGTCAAATTATTACGCCTGAATAAAAGCTTTTCAGAAAAAATTTGTAGTTATTACCATAATAATATAATACCCTGAAAGACATAAGAGTAGACTAGAGCCCATTATTTCCACTAACCATACATATCGCATAGTTGCCTCTACTTGTGTTAGAAAACTGTAAATGAAACAATTTATCTATTTAATAATTTAAGATTTATGAACGTTCATTTAATGATTTATTCAATTTTGTATTTAAAGTATTACACCGTAATAGAATATATTTAATAAATAAATAGTATATTTAATATATTTTAATATTAATACTTAAATAAAATTATAGTTTAATGTTTGTTTTATAACTGTAATAATTACAATGTATTAGTTCAGTTTTTGTAATTTTAATTTAAACATTTTGATAATTTTTTTTCTAATATAGTTATAATATGAAAGAAATACAACTACAATAATGATATGCTAATTTGATTATCAACTACAATTTGTAATTATTTATTTAACGAAATAAGGCGTTTAGATAACACTTCCTCTTTTTACATATTTTTGTCTCACCTTTTCACTTTTATTTGATGCTGTACGATATCAGCCAACAATATCGCGACAGCTCGATCGTTAGAATTCGATATGTTGTCGAGATTCTGAAGTTTGCCCATTATAACGCTTAATTGTCCACAAACGTGCATGATGAAAAATGCAGCCAAGCCGGCCGCACCGATTCTTGTCGAATAGGTAATTAATCCTGCAAAGGCTTGCAGAGTAAAGACGATCTCGTACGCTGGTGACACTTGTCCATCAAACTTAATGAAGTAACTCGGCAATGCCAATGCTCTCACCGTGATGTTCTCCGGTGTGAGCATACGACCCTTCGAAAGTGGTATAAGTATTCGATAACCTAATCCGCCAGTATACATGAAGACGGCAGAAAAAATCGCGAACTTTCGTCCTACTCTCGCTGTAGACAGCATCGCTTTTCGATCACTTTCATTTACTGTATCGCTCCAATCCTGACGCGCCCGATTCAGGCAAGATTGAATTTCCTTTGCGTTGTTCAGGATTAGGAAATACTTCATCCAACCCATCGAACAATTCACAATCGGCGCAAGCAGTCTGACTCTACGTTTAAATTCGTATTCCTTTAGAAATACTCGTAGAAGACTGGGCAGAATGATAAATCCGAATAAAAAATGACAAATGACGTTTTGGAAGCGGGTCGCAATTCTTTCCATGTTGGAAGCGTCATTGGGATTCGGCCACGCGCCGATTGATCGCAGAATAATGCGAGTCACATGTACGGCGTAATTGAAGTCTTTATCGTGTTTGCTCGTCGTTGATGAGCTTTTCATTATTAGCTTCAGTCAATATTTCTTTTTTTTTCACGCTTAATTGAATTCTCGACCGCAAATTTTGAGTTTATATTGTTACTTTCCAGACACTAAGAATTTTTGTTAATGTTGTAGCGTTTGGGGTTTATAAGTGACAGATGGTTAAGCGAGACTAAACGTTATAACATAACTGGACAGATGTGTTGATAGGTAGTCTCCCTTTCTGTGGTAAGAGCAGAAAGTATAAAGCGCGCTTGCGTGCATTAAACGTCTGCGCATAATGACGGGGTTACACGAAAGGGGTTGACGAAATTATCGAATAAACGCAATATTGACGGATAAAGAGAAGTTTCGTTATGTGACGCATGACATTGTAAAATTTAAACTCACGAATGTGAAAGGGTAAGGTCAAGTGTCGTTTTATATGCTGCATATTACTGTGTACATCAATAGAATGTCATGCAAGTACAAAAATATATTGTAATATTATTCTATACATACATTATCTTTACCGTAAAGAGTTCATTGATATGAAAATTCGTTTATGTATAAGCGCGTTTTGATCATTTGTTTTCTTGTGCAAGTTCTCCAGCTAGATGATCAACATTTTGTATTGTCCGCAAGCGTGCATGGTGAATAACGCAGTAATGTCGCAGACGATGGTTGATATGATGTGTATTACGACGCCAGTCACCATATCAAAAATACGATCTCGTAAACGGGATCCTCTGAGATGTTTCGTTCATTTTCCGAATTTGTTCACATTTTACCACACACCGATCACTTCCATGATCAATTTGTGCACCTACATGATGTGTGTACCTAATATCATTTTTCTAATTGAAATTCCGTAAATTCGTTTACTCAGAGCATGTATATGGATGAACCAAAGAAAATCTATTCTTCTTCTTCTTTTTCTTACGTTGTTTATGAAACAGACGTACAATCGCAGCTAACAGATGAAAGTACAACAAAACTTAATTTGTATTATGCACGTTCTCACGTCTGTGAGAATTACCGCCGTTATCACAATGGTTCTGTCGGCGCAGTCCAAAGTTCAGAACAAATGATTGCGTGCGAACAATTTTTTGTTGACAAAAGATAATTATGGAATAGTATTTATGGAATAGTATCGATGCACACGAGACGGCCTTTAGCAAAAGTATAAATGTCTACTTTGTGTCAAGTCATGGGTCGTAGATCGATGGTTATATTGAATCAACGAAATTACACAAATTATTAATTAAGTCAAGTTTAACATAATAATGTACTTGATTTTCAAAATTAGGAATCATGTAATTTTTTAAATAAAAGTTAATTAAAAAATTATAAATTATAAGTGAAAGTAAAATATGTCAAAAAGTTGTTTGATTTTTTTACAATAGTTGTTATAAGTATAGGATTACAATAAAACAATTAATCTTTCATTTTGTTATTTGTTTCAAAGATAGCGTCAATTACAGATTAATATCTAGTACTGTACTATTATGATAATTATTTCGTCAAAATTACGCAAATTTTAGGAGCATATTAAAGTACGCCATCGATGTTTTAATGATCTGTGAAATAATAGAACAGGCAACACTTCACTGCTTGCAAATAAAATAAAACAAGCTTTTATACTTACATTACTGAAAGTAGGTAGAGATATGTCTATCATTCTGCCTGCTGAAATTTTTGCCGGAATATTGGAAACTGCCATTATTAGTATTAAAGAACGGGCTCTTCTGTATTGAAGATGATACCAATTTGTCGTGGATGTCATTAATCCAACTTTGATGCTCTGTTATAATTAAGTAAGTATATATTTTGTAAAGAATATTTATGAAAATGTTGATGCCTAACTTATAGCAAGTAAATATGAACACTTGCTACCTGATCTGTCAATCGTTGACCCACATAACAGTAGGTAAAAATCGAAAAGATGAAAGATGTAAGCATCACAGACATAGTTAACATAGCCGTCGAATCATTATTTTGCCATTCCTATGAGGTTAACAATTGCAATATACGAAATTTATTTTTGAAATAATTTATTTTTAATTTTTTTTAATTTTTTTATTTGATTTAAATGCTATCTTCATTTTCATATAAAAATTAATTGTCAAATTATTACGCATGAATAAAAGCTTTTCAGAAAAAATTTGTAGTTATTACCATAATAATATAATACCCTGAAAGGCATAAAAGTAGACAAGAACCCATTATTTCCACTAACCATACATATCGCATAGTTGCCTCTACTTGTGTTAGAAAACTGTAAATGAAACAATTTGTCTATTTAATAATTTTTTATTTATAAACGTCTATTTAATGATTTATTCAATTTTGTATAGAAAGTATTACACTGTAATAAAATAAATTTAATAAATAATATAGTGTATTTAATATATTAAAATACTAATACTTAAATAAAAATTTAATGTTTGTTTAATAACTGTAATAATTACAATGTTTCAGTTTTTGTAATTTTAATTTAAACATCTTGATAATTTTTTTTCTAATATAAACATAATATGAAAGAATTACAAATACAATAATGATATGCTGATTTGATTACCTACATCAACTATAATTTGTAATTATTTATTTAACGAAATAAGGCGTTTAGATAACACTTTCCCTGTTCATATATTTTTGTAGACTCACCTTTTCACTTTTATTTGATGCTGTACGATATCAGCCAACAATATCGCGACAGCTCGATCGTTAGAATTTGATATGTTGTTGAGATTCTGCAGTTTGCCCATTATAACACTTAATTGTCCACAAATGTGCATGATGAAAAATGCTGCCAAGCTGGCCGCACCAACTCCTGTCGAATAGGTAATTAATCCTGCAAAGGCTTGCAGGGTAAAGACGATCTCGTACGCTGGTGACACTTGTCCATTAAACTTAATGAAGTAACTCGGCAATGCCAATGCTCTCACCGTGATGTTCTCCGGTGTAAGCATACGACCCTTCGAAAGTGGTATAAGTATTCGATAACCTAGTCCGCCGGTATACATGAAGACGGCAGAAAAAATCGCAAACTTTCGTCCTACTCTCGCTGTAGACAACATCGCTTTCCGATCACTTCCATTTACCGTATCACTCCAATCCTGACGCGCCCGATTCAGGCAAGATTGAATTTCTTTTACGTGGTTCAGGATCAGGAAATACTTCATCCAACCCATCGAACAATTTACAATCGGCGCAAGCAGTCTGACTCTACGTTTAAATTCGTATTCCTTTAGAAATACTCGTAGAAGACTCGGCACAATTATAAATCCGAATAAAAAGTGACAAATGACGTTTTGGAAACGAGTCGCAATTCTTTCCATGTTGGAAGCGTCATTGAGACTCGGCCACGCGCCGATTAATCGCAGAATAATGTGAGTCACATGTACGGCGTAATTGAAGTCTTTATCGTGTTTGCTCGTCATTGATGAGCTTTTCATTATTAGCTTCACTCAATATTTTTTTCTTTTTTCACGATTAATTGAATTCTCGACCGCAAATTTTGAGTTTATATAGTTATTTTCCAGACACTATGAATTTTTGCTAATGTTGTAGCGTTTTGGGGTTTACAAGTGACAGATGGTTAGTTGAGACTGAACGTTATAATATAACTGGACAGATGTGTTGATAGGTAGTCTCTCTTTTTGTGGTAAGAGCAGAAAGTGTAAAGCGCGCTTGCGTGCATTAAACGTCTGCGCATAATGACGGGGTTACACGAAAAGGGTTGACGAAATTATCAAATAAACTCAATATTGACAGATAAAGAGAAGATTCGCCATGTGACGCATAACATTATAAAATTTAAACTCACGAATGTAAAAGGATAAGGTGAAGTGTCATTTTATGTGCTACATTTTATGTGCTACAAAATATATTGTACAAAAATACAATATATTGAAATACTATTTTATACATACATTACCTTTACAGTAAAGAGTTCGTTGATATAAAAATACGTTTAATAAGTTGTAAACGCGATGTAATAATAATATAAATACAAAAATATATATATATAAATGTATAAATTATTATACATTCCCCTTTCAACACAAAGGAATATAATGATAAAAGATTCGGAAAAGTGATGTTTGCGTTAATTTATGATAAATACTATTGATTATTGATTAATGATGTTATTCACATTCTTAAAGTTATAAAGATCAAATAGATATTTAAAAAAATGTCTAGTATATTGTTTATCTCACTATTGCATTACTCGTTCCGTTTATAGAATAACAATAAGATAATTAAATAAACATTTTGTAATAGTTTTCTACAATTATTTAGATGATTTCTAATTCAAACAGGAAATAAAAATGATCAAATCTATATATAATGATATGATACGTTATTGTATGAACGAAGTATATTTGAATCGAGATCTATATTTTGCAAAATATCTTATTTTTCCGAGTTAATATTTGAATAAAAGTAAATTTGCATTATGTAATTTTGTTGTTGTATACTTTTACTTTATATTAATAATTCTACTAATAATTAATGTTTCTACTAAATAACGTTATATGTTCCTCTATCTACAAAAAAAAATACAATCAAATATTTGTAAATATATAAACGATTATTTTCCATCATTTTTCATATGTCACAGCCATTTTAACAATCTGGAATATAGTACACATTTTGAATCATTTTTTACAAGTAAACCCGTTACTTACATCACCGAAAGTTCTGAAGGACAAATCGAAAAACTTTCCGGCTTTTAATTTTGCTGGGACAATTGACGTAGCTATAACTAATATTAGTGCTCGTGCTTTCGCTTTCGGAAGACAATATCAAAAGCCACTGTACATACTGTTAATTTCTCTCTCTAATTTTAGTAAAACAAGTTACACGATATAAAATAAAAATAAAAAAAAAATATCCGATATATTATCTGCTTTACTTATTAAATTCGTTATATGGATTTATATAATATGATACCTCTATGAAAAGTTGTTCACCAATAAAACAAAAGATATAAATATTGAACTTAATATAAATATTGAACTCAATATAGATATAAATATTGAAACCCAATTGATGTAAGCAGAATAAGATAGGAGCACATAGATATAACATTTTGGTCTTCCCATTTCTGCAAGATTGATAATTATATTTATTTATTTTGCATACACACAAATACACACACTCGCACGCGTGTGCAAACATTACTTAATTATTGACGTAATTTAATTTCTGATATCTCAATTTTTGACAAACAATACATACGCAATATTTCAATACGTCCGAAGTTTATACTTACTTCAAGATACGCATTTGTAATCTTAGCTAATCTTTGGTTTGTGATGTCGTTGACGCCCTCTCGACCATCGACTAAATAATTTATCCAGAACACGAGCACCTGCAACTGTCCACATGCATGCATTGCGAGGAGAGCTGCCAGGCTTCATACGGTCATGATGTTGTGGGCGATAAAGCCAAATAACTAGATAAAATAAAAAATTTACTGGACTACGACGAGCATTGACAATCATACTGGGAACTGGAAAGACCAGCCTGCGATAAGTGAGATATTCTGCTCTTTGATTTTCACGCGAGTCAGTCACAGCGCCACGAAATATAACACCGCCGTACATGAGGACACTGCAGATGACAACCAACCGACGGCCAAAGTTTGCGTCGACCAGCATGATTCTTCTTTCATCCATGTATTTCACATTTCTTCAGTCACTCTTAATATAACCGACACATTTGCGAATATCATTTCTGCGTAAAAGCAAAGCGCTGTATTTCAATATGGCTATGAAGAAGAACGTAAGAGCGCTACCGAGCTTCAATTGATTGTAGAAATCCTTGATACGTAGGACGATGTATACGCTACTGGAAATTAGGAGTAAAGTGAGTAATATGTAGCAGATTACATTCAACAGTTATACTACAACATCTTAATTAATGAGTGTGTCACATGCCGATTATTTTCATGATCCAGATATTTAGTTGCAAATTGATTTGAAGATCATTCTTATAATTCTGATTGTATGGTCTTGTTACGAACATCAAGATATCGAGGCAGACTCTCCATTATCGAAATGATTGATATACACTGGCAGTAGTAGCTTCAAGCTCGTCACGACATGATTTGCGCTTGCGTCACTTTGTACATCCAGAAGAAAAAAGGGATCTACGCATAGATTTTCTAAACGAATAACGGGAAACTTTGAGCGATTATCTAAAAAGAGTACGTGGTGCTTCAAGAATCGTTCCGTTTCCTAAAAAGAGCATTTTATAATAGCTGTCATGTTAGTAGACACTATGAGGGAGACAATACAGTGTTATATATATGGTAGACTAGATCCCGTTATGGAAAATTATGGAGAAACAAAAAACGTCATTTGCAGGCTAACAAACGCGTGGTTTGGTCTTTACAATATTTGGCAGGAAGAAAAATATATTCAGTAGAAAAAAAATGAAACTGCGTTTTGAAGTAGTTCGCTATACAGACTCTAAGTCGGCTACGGTATTCAAAATTTCTGTAATAATAACCCTAAGATGTGAACTTAAGTTGATGAGTCGATAAGGCTTTAAATCTAGGTAATCTAACGAAAATAGCAGTAAATTAATCCCTAACACAAATCTTAACCGGAAATTTAACTTATACAGTAAATAAATTTGTTATGTCTATTTTTCTTAAATTACTTAGATCTAAAGCAATATCTTCATTGGCTTATCGGTTTAAATTTATGCCAAACGGTTACTGTTACAGAATTTTGTTTGCGGCAATCCTAATGGTGTTTAAATATTATTTTGTATTATATATCGTTATATGTATACACGTACATATACGATTTATTTATTTTATTAATAACTATATTAATAATTGAATCTTAAGTTATATTTTATATATGTATATGTGAAAAAAAATCAGATTTCGGAGTAAAAATCTGACGATTAAATATGAAATTGAATCTACCGAGGCTAATTTTGAGATTTCGAAAAAGATTACAAAAACTTATTCAGCATAGTATAACAAATTTGTTCGCATATGATGTATTCACTCAAATACAGAGCAACTGTCCGCAGCAAGTTTGAATGTGCCATCGCTGTTCTAACCACCTGAAAATTAATAAAAGTTATTAGCACAAAGCGTTTATACAGATAAGTGTTTATAAAAATTTGTATATATTTATGAAAAGAAACATTGCCGCAAAATGATATTATATTTATCAATAAAATAATAGTTTTAAAAATTATATTTAAATATAAAATATTTGTCGAAAAATAATTCTTACATGATATATTTAAATATGTGATTCTTATAGGAGCTTGTTAATAAATGCAATTGCACTGCTGTTGCGTACCATTACCACGTAATATCCTAAAAGACATATTAAAGTATATTTCTAACAACATATTTTGAAACAACATATTTCTTCTATCTGATGGAAACATGTATCTGATGTAAAAATCTAAAATTTGCGACTATTCGAACATGTATCACTGTTACTTTTCGTATTGTACATACATTAGACTTTTTAAATTTAAAATATTTGATAAAAATCTTTAACTGTATAACGCTAATAAATAATTCAAGAATTAAATTTACCTAGAGTTTTTTTAAATTTAATTTTCAACAAATAGTTGATTTCAAAAAGTATCACAAATGAAATTCATAGTATTTTAGTATAAAATTTTCGAGACAAATTGTAAACCTAAAATGAAATTTAGAATCAATAGGAAATGAATAATAAATAATTCAGCTACTTATTATATTTACGTATTTTTATGTGATACACGACAATCACTGTCAAATTTCGAGCAATGGGGCGATTCGATCATTGGTTTTTTTTTGCAAGTTTTCCAGCAAGATGATCAACATTTTGAATTATTGGCAATCGTGTATGATGAATATCGCCGTGATGCCGCAGACATGATCGATATGACGTATATTACGACGCCAGTCACCATGTGCATCGAAAATATAATCGCGTAAGCGGGGATCCTCTGAGAAGTTTCCATTTTCTGAATTTGTTCACATTCGGTCCACACACCGAATATTCCCATGATCAATCTGCACAGTGTACCTAATATCATCTTCGTAATTGAAATTCCGTAAATCCATCCGTTTGATCAGAGCATGCGTATGGATGAACCGAAGAAAATCTATTCTTTTTCTTCTTACGTTATTTACGAAACGGATGTACAATCATAACTGACAGACGAAAGCATAATACAACAGAACTTAATTTGTATTATACACATTCTCGCATTTGTAAACCATCGCCGTTATCACAGTAGTTCTGTCACGCAGTTTAAAATTTGGAACGATTGCGTGCGCGGAATTTTTTGTCGACAAAAGATAATTATGGAAAAAGATCGATTCATACGAGACGGCTTTTAACAGAAGTACAAATGTCTATCAGGTCATGGATCGAGAATTATATTGAATCAACGAAACTACGCGAATTATTAATTAAGTCAA